AATGGTTGTCCAAAATATAATTGAAGAATATGGAATATTTTTTTCCCACATTATTATACATTACTATATATAAATGCAGAATTTTTTGAACATGTGTACTGAATTCTTGTTTCATAATCATATGTGTCAAATTCTGGTGTTTCACATTAGTCATTTTACTTCTATCCATAGCTATTAGGACTTTTGAAGTTGTAAAATGCATGATTGAGTTAAAATAATATATATATATATATATATATATATAAAATAATTGCTAGCAAAACAATTAATAACTGTATTTGTTTTCTCGCCTTTTTCCCGTTACTTTTGTATTAGTCACAATTATTATTTATTTATTTTATTTTATAGTTGCTACTATTAACTAATAGTGAAGGCATATTAAATGATGTTCTAATCTAAAGTTTTTCTCAAACTATATATTTAAAATTATTATTTATTTTCTTTCACTTCATTAAGCATTTTTTATTAAATTAGTTAATTATTTTTTTATGGCATATTCAAACCCTTTAAAGTTTTGTACACAATTGCTATAATAATAATTTCATTGTTTTTTATCCAATTAATTGTCATAATCAACCAAGATTGCATAAACTTATTTTTTTATATCGTCATTTTAGTATAAATGTGATATGCTCATTATCTAGATTATATATTTTTTTAATACTTAAAACACATATATATTACGTATAAAATTTTATTTAACATTTGTGCATGTGCACATGATATAATAGTAGTATATATTAAAAATTTATTACTTATTTGTTATGATTTTTTCATATATGATATATCAAATTAATCATATTTTGACGAGTTTTGATTTGACATGCATATTGCATATAAGTGAATGTGTCATTTTGAATATAAATAAATAAATAATAATACAGCTTTTAAATAAGTGTTAAAAATTTAAATAAAAGCTTCTCTTTTCCTTTATTTTAAATAAATAAATTAATTTTTTTACTAGCGCCCGTGTTAAATACACAAGTTTATAGTAGTAACTATAATAATAACTGTAGGTCTTCTAATAAATCGACTTAACCATTAGACCGACTTACATTACTCACAAATATATATATATATTTTCATTCCAAAGTACCATACATCAAGAATTAATATAAATATAAGTATGTAATTTGATAATAAACATGCGCTTTTGTCAACATAGTACGACGACTCAACCTAGACATGGCCAAGGGCCGCCCAACACGGACCCGGCCCGGACCCCGCCCGGTCAAATCCGTTGAACACAGGTCCGGGCCTGGACCGAATTTTCGAAAGGTCGTGTCAGAGTCATCCATTTCATGACTCTTCTCGGTGGACCCGGGTCGAGTCAGGTCAATGACCCACTTTTCTATTTTATTTTACATTTTTCCTAATGTTTATAGAAAAATGACGGACTCGGCTCGGACTCGGAACCATCCCGGTCAACTGGGCTGTTGACCCGACACGAGTATAAATCCGTGCCTAGTCCAGGTCGTGACCCGGTTCGAGTTTTGGCCATGTCTAACTCAACACATAAAATTTGATAATAAATATTCACTTTCGTCACATAGTATGACGATTCGACTCACCTAGTATAACAACTCGACCCGTTTGACTGCCCTAAAAAACACAAGAATATGTGTAGTCAATAATAATAATAATAATAATAATAATAATAATAATAATAATAATAATAATAATAATAATTTCAAAGATGTTTGATTTCTTCCAACTCTATGTACACAATGTGTCTGCCTAAACTAGAAACATAAAAAAGAAAAACAAAAAATGCATGTACTACTAATTCACTATACAGTCACACAACACAAGTATACAAATCACTTAACCTAAAATTACCCAAAACATTTATCAAATATAAATGATAATTATAGTAATAATAATCTACAACCAGCTTCTCCCCGGACTTTTCTCAATCCCTGTATCCCTCATCAATCGCCTCACCATCTCCGACCGCCGCCAGTCCCCTCCGGCCGCCATAACTGCCGCCAGCTGCACCATCGCCCCCGAATTCCGGCAATCAAGCTCCATTATCCTCTCTGCCACTTTCTCCGCCAGTGCCCGGTCACCGCTCTCGACACATCCCCTAAGCACGGCTGCCCACATGCTGACGTCACGCCTCTCCTCACTAACCCGTTCCACAAGCTCGACCGCCTCCCGAACCCGACCGGCCCTCGCCAAAAGCCCGATCACGCACGAATAATGCTCGATTCCCGGACGAATACCGTACTCCTCTTTCATCACTCGGAACCAGTTTTCTCCTTCCTCCACGAGTCCACAATGGTCGCAAGAGGACAAAACGGCCGTGAACGTGACGCCAGATGGCGGAACCTCAGCGAGTCTCATCTTCCGAAACAGGGCAAGGGCCTCGAACCCGAGCCCGTTTGTTGCGTAGCCCGTCAGCATCGAGTTCCAAGAGGCCTCGTCCGATTTCGTCATTCGGTCGAACAATTTTCGCCCAAACCCCACGAAACCGCATTTGCAGTAGAAGCCGACAAGAGAGGTCGATATGACCTGGTCAAAGTCAACTCCAATGACTATGGCCCGAGCAAAAATTTGTTCACCAATCGAAAACGAAGGTATGCTCGCGCACGCGGCGATGGCGCTTGAGAGGGTAAATTTGTCCATGACGAGATTTAATCGATTCATTTCGCAAAAGAGTTGTAATGTCTCGGCAGGGTACCCATTCTGACTCAGCCCGACCATCATGGAATTCCACGAGATCAGTGTTTTTTTCGACTCCAAACGGTCAAAAATTGATTTTGCCTCGGGAATTCTACCACAGTTACAGTAAACGGTGATGATTGAGTTCAGTAAAACCGTGTCGTAAGTTCTTAGCTCGGTGAAAAAATTGATGGCATCGACATGGCTTCCGCTCTTTGCATACGCGTCGATAAACGCACTAGCGACGAGCAGATCGTAAATAATTCCCATTTTTTTAGCCACGGCGTGAAATTGAATGCAATTTCTAGGATTGCCGATATTACTGCAGGCGCTCATAACACTAGAAAATGTCGAAAAATCTCCTGAAATCCCACTCTTGTGCAATCTATCGAAAATAACCAAGGCCTCCGAAGAATCGCCAGATGTAACATATCCAGAAATTACAGAGTTCCACAGCACAACACACGGATTGGTTTTAAGTTCGAAAATTCTTCTCGCCTCGTTCATTCTACCGCAATTTGCATAGCTCGAAATCAAAGACGACAACGAGTAATCATCTGGGCCCGCCGACATTTCATTCAAAACACAGCCCGCACTATCCAAATCGCCACATTTTCCATACATGTTCACGAGCGAACTTTCCAAGACCGAGTCAAACTCCACGTCATCGATTATCAATCTCGCGTGAACTTGCCTTCCCAAATCAAGGGCTCCCAAATCCGAACAAGCCCCGATAACCGTGGCTAAAACGAAAGGATCAGAGCTAAAGACACCGCCCTTTTCGCTTGACTCCCATTTTAGAAAATCCTTAAACGATGCTAAGGCCATCCTCGATCTCATGTTCCTAGCATGCCCATGAATCATCGTGTGCCACGCTATATCATTCTTCTTTGGCATTTCACGAAACAACTGCTCGGCAGCTTCCATATCTCCTGACCGGGCCAAGCCCGACAGGATCACGTTCCAAGAGAACTCGTTCTTGTCGGGCATCGAGTGGAAAAGGCTAAATAGATCGGTCTTACGGCCCGTCTTGGCGTATCTTTCTAGCAGGGTGTTCCAGGTGAAGAGGTTTCTTTGGGGCATTTCGTCAAACAGTTTGCGGGCATCACCAATTGATCCGCACCTGCTGTACATCTGCAGAAGACGATTGGCAATGGTGAGAGTGGAATAAAGGACGCCCATTTTGAGGAAAAGATTGTGGATTTGTTTCCCCTTTGGAATCGAATGTTGGGTGGTGAAGGTATTGAGCAGACGCGCGTAGTGGTCGTAGTCTCGAAGGTCCATCTGTGCCGGTGGTTTTTCACGTTGAATTTGGCGGTCGAATCCTTATATCTTGAGCTTCGGAGTTCGGAGCCTAAAGATAGAAATTAAAAAGAAAAAAAAAAGTTTAAATTTTGACATATTATCATTATGGGAAATGCTATAGTCCCGTTACGGTACCATCCCGTCGGGTGTTTTAACCGTTAGATCATCTATCTTATACTAACTACATGTGTATCCAACGGTTAAAACATCCGACGAGATGGTACCGGGACCATAGCATTCCCCATCATTATGAGTTATGACTAACTAAATTGAATAACACAAAAAAAGATAGCATAAAACACAGCACGATAGCACAATTTGCCACACTATCTCGGATCATGTCGTAATCCTTCGAAAAGACAAAGGGAAACGGAGTTATGGAGTATGTTTATTTGTTATGATTTATGAACTCTTCTTAATAAACACATTGATCCAGTGAACATAGATATGGGCAGAAGCAAAATTGAATCTTTACCCAAGAAAGTGCACCAAAATTGAACAAATGAACACGTAATATGACACAAGATTTCAAATTTAAATTCGAAACACCAATTCAATCCTCTCCCAATATACCAACTTAATCCTACATATATACACCACAAGTCCTGCAATTTTACTTAGTATCTGCACCAATTACGCGTTATCAGCAATATCAAACTGGAAAGGAACCGGCGGGTTCAATTCGTTAAGCCGACTGCACGCCCATTCTCCTAGCCGGAGACACTCATACTCCCGGCTGAAGTCAACCACTTTGGTCAACATTCGTACTGTCGGGTCAAAAGGCATTTCCTTCACGAAAACCTCAAGTTCGTCCATAAGCCCGTGGTGCCCATACAGCTCGATTATGGAATCGTAATGCTCCACCTGAGGCGACAAATAGTACTTATCACTCATCAGCTCAAAATACCGTTTGCCCAGTTCAACCCAGCCCTCACTAATACAAGCACGCAGCACGCCTTGAAATGTGACGTGATCGGGCCTGAAGCCTTCGCTCTCCATTTCTTCAAAAAACCGGACTACTTCACTTCCCATCCCGTTGTGCGAACAGCCCAAGATCATTGAGTTGAACAAGATCACATCTTTTGAGCAGGCCCATTCAAAAACGCGCATGGCATACTCAATGCAACGGCATTTTAAGTACATGTTGACTAAAGCTCCATTTATAACAATATCGAAATCATAATGGTTTCTAACCATGAAGGCATGGACCTGTTTACCAAACTCGAGCGCGTATATATTCGCGCAAGCAGCCAAAAGGGTGGCGAAGGTGAATTTACTAGGCTTGGTCTCTTCGAGCATTTTCCCGAAAATCTCCATAGCTTCCTCGCTCAGCCCGTGACGAGCGTGGCCCGTCAGTAAAGCATTCCAAGAAACTTTGTCACGTAAATGGGAAATCTGGTAGAACCAAACTCTAGCTTTATTCAAGTTTCCGCATTTCCCGTACATGTCGAGAAGAGCATTCGCAACGTAAAGGTTGGAATGGTAGCCTTGTCTGTAGGCATATCCGTGTGCTTGTTTTCCGAGTTCTAAATCCGGAATTGCTGCACAAATGTTCAAAATCAAGCCTAGCGTGACATGATCCATGTCTCTCGTTTTTTTACGCATCAGCATCACAAAAGCCAATGCCTCGTCCCACTTTGAAACACGCGTGTAGCCAGCTAACATCACGTTCCAGGATATAACCGTCCTCTCGGGCATTTCGTCAAACACGGCTCGAGCCTCTGCCAATCTCCCACTCGTAGCATAACCTGACACCAAAGAAGTATAGTTAATCAGGTGTTTTGAATCGGGATAGTCAAAAATCCGCCTCGTGCTCTCCAAGTCACCACATTTCGAGTACATGCCGATTAGAGTACTCGTGACAACCTCATCACACTCCAGATTGATCTTAACACTGTATCCATGAATTTGAATGCCCACTCTAACTCCACCGGAACCCGAACAAGCAAGAATCGCGTTCGACACTGTGTGACATAATGGGTTCACCTTCGTCCTCACCATTTCACGAAACATTTTCAATCCCTCACTCCCCTGGCCCGTATCCAGATACCTTCTGATTATCACATTCCAGGTGATGTCATTCGGGTTCTCAATATCATCAAACATCCTACGGGCATCGGCCATGACCCCACATTTCCCGTACACATCCACGAGAGAGCTCTCGAGAATAATGTTCCCCACATAACCATATTTTACGACAAGCCCGTGGACCTTTCTTGACATCCAGAGCTCCAGCAGGTCCCTGCAGGAGCCGAGCACAGTCGCAAGGGTGACCTCACTCGGCCGGACCCCCTCTTGGGCCATCTGGGCAAACAGGCCCAGCGCGGCCCGAGGCAGCTCGTTCCTCGAGTGGGCCCCAATGATGGCGTTCCAGGACCCACCGTCTCTGTTGGGCATTTGCTCGAACAATTCGCGGGCGTCGACCAGGGAGCCGCATTTCCCGTAGCTCTCGATGACCCGGTTGAGGAGAAACGACGGTGGGTCGGGGTTGAAGGTGAGGAGGTGGCACTCGAGCTTCCGGGTCTCGGTTACGGCGTTCTCCGAGGCGCAGACGCGGAGGAGGTCGGCGTAGAGGGAGAAAGGGAAGGGGACGGCGGAGGAGAAGAGGACGGAGACAGCTTTCGAGAGGCGGCCGAAGCGGAGGTGGTTGAGGATCGTGGGTGTGAGTGCGTCGGCGGAGGGCGGCGAGATGCGGCGGGGCGCGGCGGCGGCGGTGGTGGAGGAGGAGGATGCGGCGGAGGTAAGGAGGCTCGGTCGGAAGCCTGCTTTGGAGCCCATAAAATGCTGGCTTCCTTTCTTGCTCTGTTGGGGGCTTGTAAACGAGTATGTGTGTGTGCGAGTGGGCCTGGAATTGGCCCAGATCAATATTGGATTCAGCCCATTGTAAAGCGATCTTCTACTACTATTATTATTATTATTATTTAGTTTTACTTTTATTATTATGCATTTTATTTTAATTAATTGTTTTTAGATTTTACAATCTATTTTGTGCTTTCCCCGAAGCTAAAATTTCCAACTTACGCAAATGGCTAGTCACATTTGACAATGAAATATGTCTCAACCTAGATATTAGCTCTCATAGAACGGGAGAGAATCAGACATCATGGGGGTCGACCCGACAAGCCACGCTGGAGGAGCCCAAAGCTAAGGACCCGAAAAGGAGGCTCGCGACTCAGTGGTGAGAGGCCGAGCAAGGAACTCTATTTGGACTCAGGTATATCGAATGAGAGGCAAAGAGAATTCCATGGGCCAAGCCTGAGGCTGGAGACAAAGCGACAGTTCGCAGAGAAGATGGGGGAGGGGCTATAGGACGCTAGAGCACAATATTCTGTAGTTGTACACTACTTGCTAGTTGCTAAGTATATTTCTAAGGGAGACTAAATATTTTATTATATAATTTGTTTTTCTTATTTTATATTTGTACATGTGCTTTTTATTTCGGCTATATTTGGTAAAACTAGTTGATAGTTGTTAGTTTATACGTGAATTTTGAGCTGATAGTTTACGACTGAAAACCTACTTGATATGATAAGAATGTTTGACAAAATTAGCTGATAAAACAGTTGAAATAAATATTTCAATTGTCTTATTTGAAAAATTACTCAAAGAAGTTTATGAGATAAATTCAAACTTTTTGAAAAAAATCAGCTCTACCAAATCAAAGTTATTTGAATACATAAAAGTTATAAGCCAACCTAATAAGGTATAAGTTAGCTTATAATGTTTACCAATCAAATTTTTAATATAGTGAAATCGTGAGAAAAGTGAAACAAATGATGGAGCCTCATAGAAACCCATATTGATTCACGATTGGCACAAGAGAAAAATCACATTATTTTTCATAATTATAATAATTATCGCGAGATTAATAAGTTCAATTAAATTAAAAATATTTACTTCATAATATATAAAATAACAATTATCACGGTTTATCTTAGGTTATATATATTATGATATAGCCATGACTAGTACTGCCGGCTCGATCGGTAGCATTTGATATAGCATGTCGTACCCGAACGGTTTTTATGGATATATATTGAAGAATACGTCTATACATGGGCTAAGACACTTGATATAATAATATGGGCTAAGCCCAACTTAGGCCAGGCCCAACTTGAATTATAAGGTACACTCCTCCTATAAAAAGAGAGAGAAGGTACTCATTTTCTCCATTCTCTCTAAGCATTCTCTCTCTACACCCTCTCTCTACATACTCTCTATGCACTCTCATATGAATCTAGTACTGACTTAAGCATCGGAGGCTCAAAGTCGGGCACCCCTCCCGAGGTCCTCGACTTTGGGTTCTTGCAAGTACGGTGGCCGTCCGATTCGAGGGAGCCCGGGTGACATCTTTGTCCTATCATATTATTTTATTGATTTTTTTTTATATGCAAAACAATAATATAATTCATTTCTAAAACACTTCTATTGATATCCATCGATTGTTTATGATACATAATAACTTCTAAATAACATATTATAAAAATATTAATTAATATGCAAAATTACTTTGTTGTGTAATAACGCATGCTGGTATTGCATCATCGAAAAAAATGAACATCATGGTAAGTTGGTAACCAAAAGACATAAACATGGCAATGACATTGGCACTATTACTATTACTACTATTACAAGCTTGTGAATCATAAATGCCTTAACATCCGTTAATATCATATCTGAAAAATTCGCCCAAGGGGTGTCGGCGCCGGCTAGGGGCGGATTTAGATGTTCAACTCGCTAAAATTTGAGTTCAATTCATTAATATCGATAACTCGTTAAAATTTGAGTTCAATTCGTTAACATCGATAACTCGGTTAGCGGATCGAGTTGATAAAACTCAAGTCTGAACTAAATTTTAAGCACTTATCTCAACTTGTTTAAACCTCTCATTTCAAGAAATGTTTTGATGAAAGCTATTGGGAATATATCATTATTACAACTTAAATTTATCGACAGACTTATGTAGTTATCAGTTACTTTCAAGAGTCGTTTTCTTGGTTGATAATTGAGGTGGTGGTGCATATTTCATACATTATATTAATTTAATATTCTCAATGTTGATAATTTTCTCAATGCTATTAATATTGTTTATAGAGTCGTTTGATAAAATATATAGTTGGACATTCGTCCAACTTGAATTTTGTCCCGTGTCCACCATGTCTATAATTTGAAAAAATATAGATAGTGATAAGAGAAAAAGATTGGTCGTACAAATCGAGTCGAGCATTCCATGTTCGAGTTTGTAGTCTTTGGTAAACGAGCGGGTTTGACTTTACTCATTTAATAACGAGCTAAAATTAATCTCAGCTCGAGTTCAGCGCGTTTAAAATGACAATATTTTGTAATCTAGTAATAAATTGCAATTAAGAATCTCATCTTTAGATGACCTTTGTCTACTTATACAAAACCATTGCAATAATTAAAGCATGTTAGTTTATATACTTTTTTTTTTTATATCAAAAGAGTAAAATATAATATGATCACCGCCTTAATTAGCTTTCTTCATTATGTCCTGTAATGTAAGTTAATTTAGTTCAAGGTAGCCATGATTACCCAAAGAACAAAAGGAAACAGAAAAATATTACAACATAAAATATCCCCAAAAAACAATTCATAATATCCTTTAATTGTCAATTAATGTCACCAATGTAGACCCTCTTAATCCCTTATTAATTGTACAATCTTCTCACGTAGATTTGATTCATTTATACCAAATTAATACGAGCTGGTTTTTCCATTGACATAATAAATAAGTTAAAAATTTTAAATTAGATATTTTTGCAATTTGATTTCAATAAATCGATTTTGGCAATAAAATATACAAACTTTCTATTTTGTATATCGAAATATACGATCTACAAAATGAATGTTACTTGTCGATCTTGTGATATGATTGTTTACTTGTCGATATCGTAATATGATTGTTGCAATTTTAATTTCAATGTTCTAATTTTGATAATAAAAGTCATGATTTTTCAATTTTTTTCCAAATTGAAGCATACAATTGATGAACCAAACTAACATGTCGATGGTAGTCGGTTCTAACTTGTATGGTTCAAGTTGTAAGAATCGAAGAACCCATTCTTTCTATTAGCAATTTTTAACAAAGTTTACATAATAGTTAGAACAATAAAAGAAATATTCATCTCTCTATTTTTTCTCTCTCTAGCCCCAGATCCTCAATCTTGCGCCTTGCCTCTCTTCAGTCCGCTCCGTCTCTCCATGGGTTTGTCTTGCCCCAGACCGTACGCGCGCCTTCATCCCTGAAGAGGTCCTTTTTTCCTGTCTTGATATTTTGGGTGTGGGCTTCAGACGGGTGGTTGGTGTCGGTGTTGGCTCTGACCGGTGCTTGGTAGTGGACAGAGCAGAGACCAACGACTTCTCCTCTCTCGGCTCTTGTACTCTTTTTTGGCGTCGGGGAGACAGAGGTCTCTAGCTGTGTCGGGTGTGTCCTCGGTCATGACTTGTCGGGGCCACCATTTTTGCCGTGGGAAGAGGGTAGGTCGTGGGTCTCCGATCTCGGCTACATAAGTCTTATGGTAGAGATAGGGTTTGGTCTAGTCAGCCCGTATCTTTACTGGAGTTCCTAGTTCTAGCATGTGATTTATGTTTCCTTGTGTAGTCGCCTTCTCGGGTTTTAGGTCGACGAGTGGAGGCTCGCAGTTCTTTTCGGCTGGCAGGAAGAACTTTAGTCTATGTTTAGGTGTTAGTTGTTTTTGTATTGTGTTTGTAGGTTTATTTGTTTTTGTTGTTTTGCTTTCTTATTCTCCCAATTGGGATATAGCTATTCTCCTCATGTGGGAGTGTTTATTCTAGTTTTTGCTAGTATTTAGTGTTGTGGGTGTATTTGTGTAATAGTTTCTAGGCTACAGTCGAGTTCGACGTGTATGTCTCTCTTTCTCTCTCTCTGATTCTAGCTGTATAGTTGATTCTGTATTTTTGTATAATTATTCATAAAATTGTCTATTGTTTTGAAAAAAAAAAAAAAAATAGTTAGAACACCTTGATTTATTAAGCAATAAAGAGTTAATTGGTACCAAGATACATGATAATTGTGATGTTTTTCCTTTTTCCTCCAACAAAACAAAAATTGAGAGAAATTGTAGTCCTAAAGCCCCACCACACATCCATCAAGACACTTGACTTTTTACACCCATGTCCAAAATCACCCAAAAAGTTCAAAAAGATATGAAAATGAAAATAAAAATAAAAATAAAATGGCATAAAAATAAAAAGACCGTTGTGTTGTGTGACTTGTGTCGTTCATTTAAAGGAAAGTCACCACACAATTAAACATTGATGACATTTTCGTATTTTCAAATTTTCGTCTCCCTCATTTTCACACTCAAAATATTATAACAATAAAATAAAATAAATAAAATAAATTAGTAAACCTAAAGAAACCATAATATGTAAGGAATGATTTTGCTATTGAGTCCTTGGATGACTTGGCTTATGGAATCATCTATAATTATTCACTAATAGTGTATTATTGACACGTGTCATGCATTATATACACGTCAGACACATGTCAGTTCATAAAGAAACCATAATATGTATATATTATGTACCCATATAATAATCCCAACTATCAAATTCCACCAAAACAAACACTCAAAAGACCTCTCCTATTAAATCCCACTCATGGCGGATTTAGCCAACACGGACGCCAATTTCGCCGGCAAAACCCTCGGAGACACTCACTCCGACCGGCATCCCGACCCAATTCTACATTTCCAGCTCGAACCGGGCGTGGAAGCCGACGATTCCGGCGGGAACTCCCCGCCGCTGTGGAAGATCGGCGGGCCGAGCCCATCCCGCCCCCTCCTCGGCCGCCACCGCCGTCTCCGGTCGGACTCCAGGGCGGATGCCATCGCCCGGGGGCAATGGGAGCTGATGGAGATGGTGAAGAACATGCCGGAAGCGTCATACGAGCTCTCGCTGAAGGACCTTGTTGAGAGCAATCGGGAAATCGAAGGAAACGGATCTGTTGGGGAAAATCACGGAGTCAATCCGCAGCAGCGGGCCGCGGCGAGATCGAATCGATCCTCGCCGGAGGAGAGGAGGAAAATCAGCGGCGAGGGAAAAATTGGGGGTTTTGATAACAGGGGGGTGATTTTGAACACAGGGCTTCCATTTTCGGCGAGGGGTCCGAAGAGGAAGGTGGCGGTGGTGAAAAATCACGGCGGCGGTAGGGTTTCGCCGAAGGTCGATGGGCTGAAGGGTGGTGGTCATGGTGAGGCGGATTGGTGGAGGAAGGGGTTTGCTGGGTCGAGCGATAGTGATAGCAGCAGGACCAGCGGCGGCGGCGGAAGCAGCAGCATGACCACCGTGAGCAGCGGCGGCCGGAGCGTCGGTAGCGGCGGTGGAAGCCGCGGCGGTGGCAGGTGTGTACTCTTTTGGTGATTGAAAATTTGTTCTGTTTTGAATTCTGAAACTTTTGTTTGGATGACAAATTACTGGGAAAAGAACATCTTACAATTTACCTAATAATCTACCTAATAAAAAAAATCCCTTTTTTTTTCAGATAAAAATGAATTACTAGTAAAGGATAGATTTTTTATATCACATTTTGTAGAAGAGAGACAAAATGTTTGCTAGCTTTGAAAAATGGATGTGTTTATGGTGCAATTAAGTTAAATTTGAATATTAATTTGAAGTGTATGTCTTAGGTGGAGGTGGATTTGTTAAACGAAATGATGAGTTGCCCGTAACCTCAGCTCTTTGATTCTTGGGCTTGGCTTGTTCGATAAACGAAATCAAACAAGCCGAGTTGGAGCTCATTTAGTCAAGGCTCATTAGGCTTAGGTTTCTACACAGTTTTTTGAACTTTCAACTTACACGTTTAACTTAACGAGCCGAGCTTGGATCAATAAGGGCTCGAGCTCGACTCAGCTTGTTTGACAAACAAAATCAAACGCTTGAGATCATTTAGTTAAGGCTCGATAGGCTTGAAAATTATAGGAGTTCTTACATATTCCTTTTAAACTTGTAACATAATTTGGCTCGTTTATCGGCTCGATTTAACTATTTTTTCTTTTCTTTCCCCTTCATCTTGATTCAGTCACTTTTTTTTTTTGCTATTCAGTTCCATTTAATTATTTTTTGCTAATTTTGTGAAAATGCAGGAAAAATGGAGGTTGCTGGCCTTTTTGCTGGTCAAGAAAAGGCAAATCAAAACCTGTTTAAGTAAAAGCAAAGATATTGTTATCTCTGTTAATATATTGTTATCTCTGATTATTGCTGGCATATGCTCTTTATACTTTCATCACACATCTTTACATACATATATATATTACAGAAATTGGGATTATATATATTTGAGTCGATCATAACTATTAATAGATACAATATTCTTGGATTATTGCTTTTAATTCCTTTTTAATTTATAGTGATATGTAAATGAATGATGATTTATTCTCTAACAAGAGTTTTCATTTTGTCAATGTCGCCGACCAAAACCTCGATTTGGCCCTTTGCATTTTGTGTAGTTTCTTGTGAGATGTTAGTATCTCCAAATGTTAAAGAAGGTTGAGTTTGAATTCCTGCATTTGAACCCCAACTGGTGGAATTTTGTATAAGTTGGATTGTGTATTTATTATTGTTTCGTGAGTAACATGGTCTTCACCTGAGCTCACATAAGGCTTGTTTTTCTTCTTCTTGTTTGAGCCTAACTATTTGTGAATACAAATCCGTTTTGCTCGTAAAAGCTCGAGATCGGTTCATTTGTTTGTTTAATTTAGCTTGTCAACAGAATTGAACAGAGCTTAACTCGTTTGTAATGGGTTTGGAATGATGACTAGAGCTGAGCATATTAACGAGCGTGCTAAAAGTGTACACTGGGACTGTAAACTGGTAGAGCCAGATGTCAGTAATGGAATTTGAGTTTGGCTCGTTTATTAATACTAGTGCAGTACCCGTGCGATGCATGTGCTAATTTTATTAAGTAAACATTTTATTAGGATGATTGGAAGAACGTAAAAATCATGCATTGGAACAAAATAAAATGTAACTTGTATATTATTAAACAAAATACAACATACATTTGTGTAAAACGTACATAAGAAAATGAACACTTGACGTCTATATATATTAGGATTCGCTCAAATAAATTAATTAAATTATGTAGTAGGATATATACGATATGATTTTCAATTATTTGACGAATATTGCATGGCCTCATATAACAGAGATTGTAAAACGTATTTCTTGATAATCTATATCTTTATTATTTTAAAATTGTAAATTATTTAATTTAAGAAATGAAACAATTGTGTACGTGTATGCAATCAATTTCAAATTTGTATTCTATATGATTAAACAAACTCAATATTTAGGATGTTCTGATCCGATTTATTTGAATTTTAAATTAATATTATATAACTTTGTTTAATGTTTAAAAAAAATCAGAACCAAATAAAGTAGTAGCCAATTGATATGAGATTTTTAAATTTTAATTATCAATTTGAAATTGAGCCGATTTAATGCAATTCGATTTTTTTAATAAACACGATTTGTTGCAATTAGGTAAAGATACAACATATTTTATCTAATTCAAAATTCTCGATTTTATAGTAAATATTTTTTAATAAAAAATGAGAGAATTTTGACTTTAACAAAATTGTCATGCCGAATTTTACCTAATTAACTGGATTTCTATATCCGATTTTTTAATAAACAATTAATTTATTGCAATGAGGAAAAGATAAATGCGATAGTATTTTGCCTAATTCGAAATGCTCGCTTTTATAGTAATCAATTTTTTTAATTAAAAAATGAGAAAGAATTTTGACTTTTGCAAAATTGTAAGCATCTGTCGAAATTTACCTAAATAAAATCCACAAAACCCATAAATTTAGGGTGCATATAATTGCTCGATTTTTTGGGAATAATTAAAAAAAATTAAAAACTGTCGAAAATAGAATGCAATAAATATTTGTTGACTTTTCTTGTTATTACGTTTAACAATTCTTAAATTATTTTGTGACTAGGTTTGTTAAACGAGCTAAGCCAAGTTAAGTCGAGCTTTTCTGAGTTTCAACAAATTGAGTTTGAGTCGAGTATTTGATTGATTCCTTTAGTAAACGAAACACGAGTTCGAACACGAAGTATTGAACTAAAAAACTCACATAACACTTTCGAACTAAATGAAATTATAACACCCCTACCTTGTTCTGTTGTGAAGGTTGTGAAATCCGTGCGTTGATTGATTATACACGAGTTTATTGATTTTCATAAGAATTTCATGTAAAACACTTGTAAGTTCTAAATAAATGCAAACCAAAAATCTGAACAAAATTCCAGATTTGTCCATTTGGAGATTACATGTGTCCCCTTTGACATAATGATGAATGTGAAGTGTGAAATAAGTACATATCTTCAACTTTATATGGGTAGAATTCGATGTATCTTCAACTTTAATTTAATTTATATATATATAAAAAAAAAGATATTTATCCTTCTTATTTTTCATTTTCTTTTCTACTCAGATGTTATAATGTAAAAAAAATGCTCCGTACTACATATTTATTTATTAATTTTTTTATAATTATGAAATCATAATTACTCCAAATTTTTGTTTTTTTATTTTTTATTTATATCATAGGAAAATGCTACAGTCTTACGGAACCATTCCGTCAAGATTTGTAACTGTCGTAGATAGTTGATCTAACGGTTATAGACCCCGACGGAATGGTTCAAAGAATTCTTTTTGATCCAATCCATCGGATTCAATAGAGAAGGCAAATCCCTGATGACACAGCAGATCCGGCTCGATTATTGATAGAGTGTCTAGATCTGATATTTCTCTGGGTTTAGACATTACTTCGGTGCTTCTTAATCCTTTAAAAAGGGAAACACCATACCCTTTTTTATTTCTTTCTAGCAAAGAATCTTCTGGACAATTTATTCCTACGTGATACACTTTAAATCGCAAAAGTTTGATCAATTCTAACAAGTTTTGCTTTTGAATTTTGAATTGGAAACTTGCTCAATTTTTTTTACCATTTCCCAAAAAATGGAAAAATTGGCTGGAGATGTAAAAGAGATACTTTCGTTTTCATCACTTTTACATATGTCAGAAAAATATTGTGACATTTCGTTTCTGACAGCCCCACGTCGGCACTGAGAGGCCCCGCCTCTATGAATCGAAACGACCTCATTTCTTGGTGTCAAAATATGATATATGGTAGAGAAGATCTATT